CTCCATGTGTAACACATTATGTTCTTTTTTTTTCTTTTTGTCTTCTTATGGCTTATTTTATTTTACTTATTAATGTTTTGCTGACGACTGTGACCTTAGTATCTATCTTTCATTCCTCATGTAGTTCTCATTTGGAATGAAAATCCTTGAATTCTTGATTTAACCTCATTATTATGCACAAAATTTAACTGACTCAAATACGTTTGGAGCATTTTTATATCCTGTTTTATATTTAAAAAAAATCATGTCAAAGCATCAATTTTGTTTTCTAAATAAAAACATTAAAAACTAGTTAATAACTCAAGTAATTTATTTTATCAATATGTAATAGAAATGTACAGTAAATTTAAGATTAATCGTAATTAATTCACAGCTACTTTGGGATTAATCAGATTAAAATATTAATCATGTGACAGAATTAATTTCCTCACATTTTACAGTTTGTTGCATTAAGTCTAAGAACAGGATTGAACATAACTTTTAAAAAAAAAGGCAACCAAATGCATTAAGACTTTCGCACAGAGCTGTAACCTTCTGAAGCAGATCCACCCGGTGAGATCCGCTGCGTTTTTATTTTTCTAAACTGCTGATGGTGAAGTGGGACTCACCAGCAGCTCAGATGTTCCCAGAACATCCAGGTCCAGACTCTGGATCCTGGAGTAATGGACCCCCATCTCCCTGTGGATCCCCGAACACTCGATGCAGATCAGGACCCCGAGGTTGGTGGAGAGCCATGAGGGACCTGAGGCGAGGAGGAGCAGCATCTCATGAGGCAGGTTCACCGACGTTTAGTATTTATGACAAGAGAAACGCAGCTGATTTAATCTGGCCTCCAGTTCTAATGTAAAGAACCTTAGTGTTATTTTTGATCAGGACATGTCTTTTAACCCCCACACTAAAAATGTTACCAGGACTTCCTTCTTCCACCTGTGTAATATCACTATAATTAGAAATATTTTGTCCAAAAATGATGCAGAAAAACTGATTCATGCATTTATCATGTCTAGGCTGGATTACTGTAATTCTTTATTATCTGGACATCCAAAAAACTCTTTAAAAAGTCTTCAGTTGATACAAAATGCCATTGCTAATGAGAGTTGGAAGGAGAGATCATATTTCTCCAGTTTTAGCTTCTCTCCACTGGCTCCCTGTCAAATTCAGAATAGAAT